GGTAATATCTGTACCCATCAGATTAGTAGACCAGAGGTCATGGGTTTGATCCGTGGAGGAGATATTGGTGGTAATATCTGTACCCATCAGATTAGTAGACCAGAGGTCATGGGTTTGATCCGAGGAGGTAATATCTGTACCCGTCAGATTAGTAGACCAGAGGTCATGGGTTTGATCCGTGGAGGAGATATTGCTGGTTATATCTGTAAGTAGCAGGGGCATTGAAAAATAATGACCTTAGTTTCTTAATCAGTAAGCAATATAGATATGAGATTATGTTCAAACTTCGACCATAGTCCCAAATGATTTCCATTTGAAATTTGTCATCTAATGATCAGCAGTTAAAACAGAACCTTATCCTCACAAGAAGCACTGTTCTACTATATCAACGTGGTTATACAGTGTATTAACTCAAGGAAACCGCCGCTGGTAATGAAGAGGATAACAGTTGATTGTTTACTAGTCTGTGCGACTTACCTGAGAAATGTGTTCACATTTTTTGTTGTTGTTTACTAGTCTGTCCGACCTACCTGAGAAATGTGTTCACATTTTTGACTCTGTCTATACAGTTCTGTTTCCCAAATGCTGAGCTTGACTGGAAAAAAGAAATTAAACAATTCTCAAAACCAATACATAGTGAAATCAATGTTACAATGTGACTGATGTTAAATCAAAAGTTTAAACTAAATCTTTTACCACTTTTTAAGCATCACTTTATGGTTTTCCCCATATAATCATAAGTTAGCTATGACCCTTAGCGTGTTCCCATTTTGGACCTATTTCTAGGTCTAGAGAAATGACATCTTCATGGCCCCAGCCCTTAACACAGAAATGGGATAGTCCCTTAACTCATTCACCCCTGAAGACACATTTGAACTCTTCCAAATCTAAGGTTGGAAATGATCATTAGGAAATTTCAGGGATGTATGAGTTAATTTGAGGAAACTTGAAGATTTATTGGCCTAAGAATGCTTCATATTGGTTGAAATATAAGTCGCTACTTTTGGAGAAACAAGAATTTCATGGAAGTTGATGTGTTGCCATGTGTATTTTCAGCTTTAGGTCAAAATCAAACTTAAGCAGCTGGTACACGGGTAATTGATACTATATGGGTATGTGAAGAAAGTTTAATAAAAATAAAAACTTTCTTCAAAGAGTTATTTTACTGAAACCACCTCATGATCAGGTGCTGAAATCCAAGAGGACCATTGGCAGCCATATTGAACTTCAGATCAAACCCATAATAAATGTAATGGCGGAACTGAAATTATGTGTATTTTTAAACGAAAACTATTCCTAGACTTGTCACATGGAAACCACTTCAGGTGGTGAAATCCAAGATGGCAACAGACAGCCATATTGAATTTAAGATCAATGTCAAAATCACACTTAACGTGTTATTTATACTACATATAAGTATTTGTGGTAAGTTTCATGAAAATCATAGCATTCCTTCAACTCATTCACCCCTGAAGACACATTTGAACCCTTCCAATTCAAAGGTTGGAATAGTTCATTATGAAGTTTCAGGGGTGAATGAGTTAAACCTTTGTTTGGATGACACAACTGCTGTTGATACTGTGTAGCCTTTGCTACAGCAGGCGTCGTTTAACACACCATAGAACGAAAGTCACGTGTTACACCTTAGTATGGCCCCAGGTTTGGGTGGACAGACATTGCATATGTATAAAGAAACGTTATAGATTACATTTACCCCTTTCTAAATAATTCTATTGAACTTCATTTACTATTTCTTGATCATAGCAAAAATTTCCAAAATTATTAATAACTGCCCATTTGGTGGTCTAATCTGTCAGAACCCTATGAAAGGTAAGGGTGAGACACAGGGAATTGAATTCTTTCTCCTTAGACTAATAACATAAAGACACCTCATCGGTTAAAAAAACAAAGTTCAGCAGTTTGTTTTGTTTGTGTTTTACGTCCTATTAACAGCTACAGTCATTTAAGGACATGCCAGATTTTGGTGGTGGAGGAAAGCCGGAGTTACCGGAGATAAACCACCGACCTACGGCCAGTACCTGGCGACTGCCCCACGTAGGCCTCAGACCTGCGCCCCAGTGGAGGAGGGCTAGTGGTAGCAGAATGTCAGACGCCTTAACCACTTGGCCACCGCGGCCCTGCAGTTTCACAGACAACTTGAGCCAGGAACTTCATAAGGAAGATAACTCCTATATAATTCCCAGGTTTGACAGGTTCAGTAGCTTTTTACCACGTTAATCACATAAACAGTTTGTGTATACATGTACCTGACTGTGAAAGAGCATTAGAACAGGCGTATTTGACGAGCATCAAATCTGCTGCTTCCTCGTCTTCATTGATGTTGATAATGTCGTTGTTAAGGAATGTCTCTAGTCTGAAACAGATCATACATTTTCCTAATAACACTTTAGTGTAAACAAAATCTTGAGATAAAGCCCATATCACTTCCCTTTCCCTATAATGGTGTGACAGTGTTTTTACAGGCCATGTCAACAAAAAGTCTGGTATCAAAACTTATCTGCCTTGTTGTAAAGATCGCTGAGAGGAAGTTGTCGTCCTCTTGTATCTTCTGATACTGGGAGATCCACTTACATGCCACACACATGACCCCCCCCCCATTAACAGTGGAACATTATTTAACTTTTTCATATACATTCGTGATAAATATGTCCAAGTTCCAAAGGCAAAAAAAAAAAGTTTCAGGTAACATGTCTGACAGGACAGGTCATTCTGGATTCATTTTTCTTTTATCTAATTTCTATTTTTTGAGGGGTGGGAGGCTAAGTAACGGATTTCAAAAATCACCAAACATAATTCAAGGATTTTAAAAAATAACATGGGATCTAAATCTGGTTTCGATACCTGCCAATGAAATATGGAATCATACATATAGCTGTCATGTTTGTTTGACTTTCAACTTGTTTGCATCCGGTGGATCAGTTATCCCAACACTGGGTGGAGTGTGTTTGTTTGAGATTAAATTTTAAGGGTCAGAGGTAAAAACAACGGTCTGTCGGGGTACCTGAAACTTTTTTATTTTTTTGCCCTAATATGAAACTCGTTTTTGTCTGTAGATATTGAGATATATTCAAGCCTTGTAAAAGACCTAGAAGGGTCTATTCTCTAGACTAATGCATTGACCTCATTTTTGTGGGCCATCAAACAAACACACAAACAACTTGTCCTATACTGCTCAGCCTTGGACATCAAACAAATACACAAACAACTTGTCCTATACTGCTATTCCTCCACCATGGCCATCAAACAAACACATAAACTACTTGTCCTATACTGCTCAGCCTTGGCCATCAAACAAACACAAACAAAAAATGTCCTTTACTGCTCAGCCTTAGACAACAAACAAATACACAAACAACTTGTCCTATACTGCTATTCCTCGGCCATCAAACAAACACACAAACAACTTGTCCTATACTGCTCAGCCTTGGCCATCAAACAAACACAAACAAAAAATGTCCTTTACTGATCAGCCTTAGACAACAAACAAATACACAAACAACTTGTCCTATACTGCTATTCCTCGGTCATCAAACAAACACATAAACAACTTGTCCTATACTGCTATTCCTCGGTCATCAAACAAATACACAAACAACTTGTCCTATACTGCTATTCCTCGGTCATCAAACAAATACACAAACAACTTGTCCTATACTGCTATTCCTCGGCCTTCAAACAAACACACAAACAACTTGTCCTTTACTGCTCAGCCTTGGCCATCAAACAAACACACAAAAAAATGTCCTTTACTGCTCAGCCTTAGACAACAAACAAATACATAAACAACTTGTCCTATACTGCTACTCCTTGGCCATGGCCATCAAACAAACAAACAAACAACTTGTCCTATACTGCTATTCCTCAGCCATGGCCATCAAACAAACACACAAACAACTTGTCCTATACTGCTATTCCTCGGTCTTCAAACAAACACAAACAACTAGTCCTATACTGCTATTCCTTGGCAATGGCCATCAAACAAACACTCAAACAACTTGTCCTATACTGCTATTCCTCGGTCATCAAACAAACACAAACAACTGGTCCTATACTGCTATTCCTCGGTCATCAAACAAACACAAACAACTTGTCCTATACTGCTATTCCTCGGCCATCAAACAAATACACAAACAACTTGTCCGATACTGCTATTCCTCGGTCATCAAACAAACACAAACAACTGGTCCTATACTGCTATTCCTCGGCCATCAAACCAACACACAAACAACTTGTCCTATACTGCTATTCCTCTGCCATCAAACAAACACACAAACAACTTGTCCTATATTGCTATTCCTCGGTCATCAAACAAATACACAGACAACTTGTCCTATACTGCTATTCCTACGCCATCAAACAAACACAAAGAACTTGTCCTATACTGCTATTCCGCATACATCAAACAAATACACAAACAACTTGTCTTATACTGCTATTCTTCTGCCATCAAACAAACATGCAAACAACTTGTCCTATACTGCTATTCTGTGGCCTTCAAACAAACACACAATCAACTTGTCCTATACTGCTATTCCTCTGCCTTCAAACAAACACAAACAACTTGTCCTATACTGCTCAGCTTTGGCCATCAAACAAACCCATAAACAACTTGTCCTAAACTGCTCAGCTTTGGCCATCAAACAAACACACAAACAACTTGTCCTATACTGCTATTCCTCTGCCTTCAAAGAAACATGCAAACAACTGGTCCTATACTGCTATTCCTCGGTCATCAAACAAACACACAAACTTGTCCTATACTGCTATTCCTCAGCCATCAAACAAACACACAAACTTGTCCTATACTGCTATTCCTCGGCCATCAAACAAGCACACAAACAACTTGTCCTATACTGCTATTCCTCCACCATCAAACAAGCACACAAACAACTGGTCCTGTAGGCTAAGCCTGGGTGCTTACTTTGTGGGTTGGATTTCCAGACTGTCACTTTCGTCCATTATCAGTTTCATGTCAATTAACCGCTCACAGTGTTTCATCATGTCTTTGAGTACTTTCAGTCTCTGTAAAAGTTAACATGACATTAAAAAACAGATCCATTCTCAATAGAAGAAAAGGCTGTAAGCTCTTTTGTCTGATTGGTCAGGATGAACCTTGATTAGGCAAATACATAATAGATTGGTTTCTTTTAATTTTTTATGTAGATATTTTGAAAATAGGTCCCTTTGGTCTGATTGATCATTGATATATCAAGATGAACACAGATTTCAAAGGATTTTTTTTTTTTAAATATCATTTGATTTTCATGAAACTTAGTAGGCAAATATAATGTACAACAAGAGATCCCCGAGGGATCTTGGCGCCAACCATTGTGCCATCTCCATTAGTTCTATATCAGTTCGATCTTGTCTCTTCTTTTCTCTTATCTGTTTGATTGAGTTATGTAAACAGTAAATGCACCTTGAGGTAACTTTTGATCTAAACTTCATATTGCTGTGTACAAAAGACAACCTTCAACGTGAGCTTGTCGTTTCACATATTTACTAGCACAGTACTTATTGTGAAAGAAATAGAACCAATCATTACAGAAGTACCTTGTGCAGCCATCTTGTTTTATGATCACTTTCAAAAGTAAACATGCACAACTAAGGACCAAGGGGAACCTACATATCAAATTTGAGAAAGATCTCTCCAGTGCTTTCTGAGTAATAGGGCTAATAAGAGTTGTTTAAGGACGGATGGACCACGAACCACGGATGAAAGGCAATCTGAAAAGTCAACCATCAGATGATGGTGGGCTAATAAAACTACTTCTCACAGCAAAAGTCATTAAAATGCATCTTTTTTATATTGTAAACAAGTGAACAATGAAGAAATTTTACCTCCATATGAAGTCTTATTTTTCATAACAATGTGAAATAACAGAAAGTGCTATTTTAAAAAAAAAAAAAACCACCACAGAAAATAAAACGTAGTGGAAAATGCAAAAAAGGAAACTACAAATACCTGCTTGTTGAAAATCACTGATATATAAAGTTTATTTGTGTGGCAGAATGTTGCAATATTTCCACTCGTGTTTTGAACTCTGTCCTACTTAGTAAACATGGTATTCAAGAGTTGGCAATTTAATACACTGTACATATTTACACTTACCTCACCTTCAGGAACATTCCAAAACACAGCTGATCCCTCTCTGTAACAGAACAAAAACTTTCTGGTAATGGCAGAGTTTCTTTTTTTCTCTCCAATTCACGGCCAAATTTTAGCCCATGGTCGTCCATACAAGAACACCGTTACTTCTAGTACTTGACCATTTTTCACAAAAAGAGAGAACAAAAACAAAAACAAGAGGCCCAATGGGCCTGAATCGCTAACCTGGTATTAGTCTCACACTGGTCCATTCAAAGTAGACCAAAGGCAAACATATTGCCAAATATCATCATCCTCGACCTTTTGGTTATCAGGAAGAAATCTAACATTTGATCCTGGTGACCTTGAATGTCTGTTAGGGTCATTGCATCACCCCTTTGTGTTTTGGTTATTGAGAAGATGCTGTTAACACATTTTTTAACAAGAGGCCCCATGGGCCTGCATTACTCATCTGCAATTAATCTCACACTTTTTAGCTCAAATGCCCAATTTCAAAAATATCTAAAAAGACTAAATACAGCGATAGGCTAAATATCATTCCTTATCACTCTTGGTTATTCAAAAGAACTTGTTACAAGATTTAAACATATGTGACCCCAGGGACCTGTTAAGTCTAAAAAGGTCATTCAGTTGAATAAACTTGGTAGCCCGTAATCTTAAATACCATCACCCTATGACTTTTGGTGATTGAGAAGAAGTCGTTTACGGATTTTCACATATTTGACCCCTGTGACCTAGAAAAGTGGTTAAGGTCATTTTTGTTTGCAAACTTTGTTGGGCTCCATTTCTGGATGTTACCAGCCATATATCATTACACAAGGACATTTGATTCTTCAGAAAAAGTTGTTTGAAGTTTTGACATATCTGACCCATTCATTGGTTATTTTTGGATTTTTTGGATATATCCATATAAATATATCTTTGTCCCCTATTTCCAACATATATATCATAAATGCAGCAGAAATGCCACGCATATAAATTGTCCTGAATATACCAGACTCATGCTGCTGCACGACACAGGTGGAAATATACAAGTTTAAATAAAACGTGCCCGGATGTCAAGCAACATGGAAAGCTTCTAAACATAGCTGTATTTATCGGTGCTGTTACCAAGATCAGCGAGGAGAGTCCCATCAGGCCATAAAGATAGTTCATAAAAATACAAACATAATTAATGACCAAGAATATTTTTAGCATGTGCGGTACTTTTACGATTTGAAAATTGAAAGCAAAACTGAAAGCCTTGTGCAAACTTGGTGGTATTTTACTCGCTCAACAAAATCAGTCAAATAGACGGGATAAATCTTCTTATTTTAAATAAAAGAAAAATGAATAAACAAAGGTAAATTTTTGGATTTTCTTCACAAACAACAATGAAGTGATTCACTTTGGACAAAAAAAGCTTCAAACACAAACACGAATGTAATACTGTAATCTAACAATGTAATACTGTAATCTAACAATGGAGGAGTTGGAATGTGTATGCAGGGTCAGTTCATCAGTATTATCACGGAATCAGAAAGGTATTAGTCAGTCATATTATAAGTTTAAATAAAGCTTAATTAAACGTTTCCTTTAAAATTAAAACACATTGTTTTGTCTAGTAAATTGCCCTACTTTTACAAACAAAAGGCCGCATATATTTTTGGTATCAGGCCGAAATGCACCAATAACCAGTAAGGCAAGAATAATCACTGTGACACCAGGTGTCCAGACAACTACTTCACGTTCCAAAGAAAGAAGGGCCACAACTCTGCAACTAAGGGGCTGCCAGCCCTGAATTTACCTGAAGAAAAAGATGTCCTTTTTTGGGTAGTTTTCTGGCTGGTATCGAGACGTCACATAGATGACTTTGTCCAGCAGGTCTGTAGATCAATAAAAAAAACAGACAGATGAAGCAAAGCAGACATTTTCATGGTGTAATTTTTACTGACTAAATCAAGAATACATTTCCTGTAAGTTCCTCAGACCAAAACAAGGCTTTCGCTTTCCAGCTACCTACCAGAGATTTTTGAGCTCATACCCTTAAACTTTTCGCCATTTATGATTGTTTTGATATTTTGATATAGAAACTTGCTTACAATTATACTCTGTATTTGGTTTGATATTTGTACTCACCTTCTGGTACCTGAGAAAGCTCGTACAGCTGCTCCTCAGCTAGATGTTCTTTAAAACTCTCAAAGTCTAGATTATCTCCGACAGCATAAACTGTTGCTTGCCCCTCAACCTACAGTTTGGTCAAACAACATCAACACTTAGTGCAAACAGAATTTCAACAATCGGAAATTTATCAAGGCCGGATGTTTTACCTTATTTTTACAACAGCCTGTTCCTACAACAATTGTTAAACAAGCCATTCGGATTGATATGTCACGCCTGTGCCCGCTTTCACCATCAATGCACATATCAGAGAACTCACTTAAATGCCAAAAACTTTATGTTGATGGAGATGCTGACAAAGTCAATGGACCATGAAAGGTAGATCGCATCCAGCATTTGATGCATGGGTTGAGATGTACTACCTAAAACGCATCTTTGGTCCAAGTTTGGTTTGTCTAGCACTTATACTTTCAGTGAAACTAAATTAAACGCAAATTTTTTTTTCACGTTGATGCCACCGCCGCCGTCACCGAAAAAGCAACACCTTAGTCTCGCTTCCGCTACTTCGTGGTGGGGAGACAAAAACAGAGAATTATTTGCCAGGGAATTTAAAGCAGCATATATTCATGGCTGTAAAACTAGACAAACAAGAGGCCCAGAGGGCCCGTATCGCTCACCTGTAAAACTCGGCAAAACAAGAGGCCCATGGGCCTTAACGGTCACCTGATATATTTATACAGAGAGTTGATTTTGTTTTTAACATGAACAGAAATATTATTCAAAGTGACAAAAAACAATAAAACCACCTTATTCAATATCTAGCATACAGATTTCAGACTAAAAAGTATTTGAAACTAGCACCTCTGATTCTAAACAAGGAAAATGAAGAAATTTTAGCACACTGACTCCTTTG